GAGTAGTTGTTGGCATATTATGTATGTACAGTACATCAGGTTTATAGATGTTGGTTTACGTAATTTTTCCTATTTAAAATTATAGAAAATAGCTCCTAGTTAATATTTTATTATAGAACATCTGATTTTTAGAAATGGGATTACCAATGTTGTGGATGCTTGTAGCCTGTATAACAAATATCAAGCTGAGATAATAAGTTTTTAATTTGTATATAGTTGTTAATGAAAATGTTTCTATTTTTGCACTAGAACAGATGAAAAATCATTTCAACTGAAAAAAATAATAATAATTTGATTAAAACAGAACTGAATATAGCATTTTAACTATTATAAAGCACTTATATTATTATCATATTCAAAAAGCTACAGCTCTCAAGTGTAACAATTTTGTAAACTTGAAATCACACCATGAAAAAAATAAATTAAACTTCCTCTGGTATGACATTTTATATATACAAATATTTCATATTTATACATATTACCATTTGTAAATATATTAATGAAATGGAATAATGTTGATTACTTTTACAATAGTATATTTTTCCTAACAACATTTATCTGTAACTATATATAGCAAAATGTCAATGACTTATTAACATTGCTACATTTCTGTTTCATTGGTAATTCCAGAACTAATAAAGTTATTGATAAAAGTAAAGTAAAAAAATGAAACAAAACTAAATACTCTGATTACATAAGATATATAATGATTCAAAAACAAGTAACCATACTTACTAATATAATATAAACATTTTTTTTAAGGTTTTAAACTTTATCTTCAAATGTAATTTTTCAAGTGATGAATCTGAGGATTAAAAGTTCTCTAAACACATAATCCCCTCAGCTACATAGCCGATGGGTTAAAGTGAAAGCCTATCTCTCTGGGAACCTGGAATCAAATCTGATCAGGTAAAAGCTCCCAGGAATTTTTCACAGATGGGTCTGTCCAGGATATGTTGGAACTCATCCTTCAATATCCAGCTGCCCTATTGTGAATCTGGTCAAACTAATGATGATTATAGAGAAAGAACCTCTCAGTGCCCACACAGAGAAAAGAAAAGAAACAAAACTCACATTTAAGGAAGATGCTTTGTTCAAATGTTTTGAACAAAGCATCTTCAAGCAAAGTTTTGCAAAATGTTTATAAAATTATTGGATAGACAACATAGCTAATATGAAATATCAAATCCCTTCAATATAACATGCAAGAATATAGATTAAGTAAATTATTGAAATACTAAATGACAGATTAATTAAAAAAATAGAAACAGATATTAATCAAAATAACATATAGTAATCTTTATAACTGTGTCTATAGAGTCAGCAGATGCAAAACTTAATGTATTTGCCTGATTTGTAGAACCTTTTCTTAAATAGTTTAAATAAATCTTTTTAATAGTAGGATTTTTTTATATTATATATCAAAATATTCTATTTAATAACTTAAAACTCAAAGCAAATTATTAATATTTTAAAATGTCTTTAGAAAAATGAATCTGATGGAAATTTTACTTTTAATATCTTTACTGGTGAAAAAGGAATTCAAAATTATGGATCTGTAGATAATTGGAATGGTGACAGGTAAGCTCATTGTTTTATATTTATATATTCTTAAATCAATTTTATTTTTAATAGTTATTTAACATATTTTAGCATGCCAATATTCATAGTAAAACACTCCACAAATACATTAAAACATGAATTAAACAGTTTAATGCTGGTTAATGTGGAGTGTTTTACTGTTAAGCATTGCATTTTTCAGTAGTTGCACATATTCATTAATTCATTACCATAATTACTGTTGGATTAAGAAATAAAAGACAGTAGAGCGTCGTTTATCCGAATCAGTTGGGGACTAGGGTTGTTCGGATAACTTATTTTTCGGATAACCGATTGTGTACAAAAAAATATATTAACCTATCACATGTTGAAATTTTTCTCCGTTGCATGTCACTTCGCATTGAATTTTCATCGATGTTAAGCCTAACGTAAACTTTTTAAAATAATAATCGTGGCTATTTTATCGTTAAAAATTATTTTTTTAGTTTTTACAAACAAAATAAATATATTGAAAATAAAAACAACAAAAAAAATACTTTAGGAGTTAATCTAGTATCAAAAACGTTCGATTCGGCATGACACACAGTGCTCAGAAAACAGCATACAAAAGTGCTAGTGCTGCCAGCTAAAACACATACACAAACATAAAAAATATTGGAGCAGCCCAAGACATAGCCAAAGATTGCAGCGCCACAGCACTAGCAAAAATTTAAATTTGCCAACTGGAATTCTTTCAGATAACCGACTTTCAGATAAACGACACTACTGTATTAAAATCATAAAACCTTTATCATCTAGCATTCAATTTTAGGTAAGTAAATATTTTCAGCTAGTTTAACTAGCTGTCAAGTTCAACCCACAACATGACCACCAAATTCTAGAACATTGGTTCAAAATAGGTGAAAATGCAATTAAAAAATCCTACACAGATAAATTCCTATCAAAACAGGAACTACCATCATAGTTTTCTACTATAGGAAAAATATATAGGATATTCACTTAAACATTTATTCAATTGCAGAAAGGATCTTTTGTATTTAGATAAATGTCTCTAGCATTGCATGAGTATAATCATAGTTTATGGTGCCTTAGTCTCTCTGTGATGTTTACACTAAAATAGATTAATTCTTTCAAAAAAAAAACCATGTGTAAATTGTAAATTTTTCAAACATAAGAGCAAAATATAAATTAGAAATGTGATCACAAATTGTGTGGTAATACAGCATACTGATTCTGCTACACATTCCCAATGGAGCCAATTGTGTAGTATTACAGGAGGTGGAATGATAGTTGAAAAGTAAAAATATAGCATTATGTAGTTTTTCGATGATTCCTGTATTATGAATTATCTTTAACAAGTAATGTAATATATAAGTGACTTTTCATATATAATTTCTTGTCCATAAATCCAACTCTAATGTCTAGTTCAAATTAGCAACATTTTGAAAGGTTTGTGCTTTAGGATAATCCTAAAAAGCCTTGTGAATCAAACGGAAAATTGATTTTTAATATTTTTCGAAATTATAATCGTATTGAAAAAAAAATAATTTGTCTTTTTCACATTTCAGTAATGTTACAATATGGCAGACACCTTGCAATCAAATCGATGGATCAAGTAAGTTACATATTACTAAATTTTCAGTACATTGTATGTTATAAGAAAACAATTGTATGTCTTTTTAAAATATGAAAAATCAAATAAAATATGTTAATTGCTAAAATTGTTAAAATTAATTTTCTCCAACTATTATTATTATAATAAAAATATTCATTCACAGAAATTGAGATCATTATTATAGAAAGAATTTAATATAGAATGCTAAATTTGCATATCAGAATATAGATAAATTGTAGTCAGTTCTTATTTTCATAAAAGTAAAAAAATTAAATACTGTTCTACACTTGCATATACAATGCACGAGTCGCAAAATTCACTTTTAAAATAATACAGTCAACCTTAGAGTAATTCTAAAACACAGAAAAACCATTAAATACTTTTTCATATTTCAAAATTACTTTATATAAATTGGTTTGCAATTAATTATTTTAAATATTAGATTATGATAATTTGATATTATTATTGAAATTTATTAAACTTAATATAGCTCTTGCAAAGTGTAATAATAATAAGAAAATATAACTTCAGAATATATAATTATTTCTTATTATTGAAATGTAATCAGTAATTTTTATGAATTTTATATTTTAAATAGTGGGAGAAATGTGGCCCCCTTTCAGGAAATCGAGATATGAAAAATTGGATTTATTTATTCCAGATATTTGCAGGTATAATAACAATTCTTTATACAATAAACTTTACTTAATAAATTATGTAGTAATATGTACAGATGGCCAGATAGCTGAGTGATTAAGGTGTCAGCTTCCACTATGGAAGACTGAGGAACAAATCTGGGAGGAGTGAAAAACCCCAGGAATTTTTCAGAGAGTGATCTGTCCTGAATTATGTTGGGTTCCATCCATTTGTTTTTGTGGNAATCCCCGTCTTCCTTTGTTTCAGTCCACTAGTACTACTCGTCCACTCCGGCGCACCTCAGCCCGTCCGTCTCAGTCCTTGTCTCACCAGCTAAAGAACTCTCGTACACGTGGGATGGCAAAATTTATAAGTCCCGCCATCGCACACGTCACCACACGTGAACACAGCACAGCCAATCGACACAACGGGGCTGTGCCACCCAAGTAAAAGGTGGTTTTCTTACACAAAAAACGAAAGTTACAAATTATACAAAAAAAACAGGTACGGAAAAATGAACCTTGCACAAGGGTATATAAATACAAGCGCCTATCCCAAGAACAATAGTGACACAACACTACAGTATATTGCAGGAAAAGGGTCAAACTGTGACTACTGCTTGATACATTGATATGCTGGTAAGCAACTTGAAGGTCACTATAAAATTAAAATGCCAGGGACTTCTCTCAAAAGAAGTTTTGTTGCTTAATGACAACATCTGACTCCATACAGCTGTGCATACAATGAACACACTAAATGATCAGAAATTTCAGGTAATAAAACATCTTCCATACAGTCTGGACTTCAAGCCATCAGATTTTCATTTATTGGACCTTTGAAAGAACATTTGCAAAGTCAGAAGTTTGCTTATGACCTCATGGTAACAGAGGTACAGCAAAGTTGATGAAAGGTCACATCTAAAAGCTTTTTTCTTGAAAGCATCTGAAACCTTGTGGTCTGGCAGACTATGTTGAAAAGTAAGGCACAAACAATTTCTTTAAATATCCTTGTAAAAAATTATTATAAAATTCCTCTTATTTAATGACTTTCCCTAGAGAATGCCATCTGTTAAGAACATGCAAAGTCTAATTTCCATATCCTTTATATATAAATAAAATATATAGTAAACTTAGTTCTAAAATTTAATTGGTAATATCATGATCAATATATTATTTATAATTTTTTGCAGAAAAATCTCACTGAATTATCTATCAGATGTAGAATTGGAAGGGATAGAAGCATATCGATACATAATGGACCACACTACATTTGATAATGGAAAATATGATCCTACAAATCGATGTTACTGCATTAATGATTGTCTTCCTGCTGGTGGATTAGATGTTTCCATGTGCCAAAAAGGTTTGTTATTAATTTATTATATTAACCTTATACTTCACCAAATGTATAAAATTATTGAAATATTGTTCAGGTCAGATAATGGATAGAGAAAGATACAAATTAGATAAATTTTATTTATATGCAAAAACAAAAAATTCTGTTGAAATAAATGCCATGTATGCTGGCTCTTATAAATTCTATTTATGATATAATTTCTGTTAGATGTGTTTTTATTTAATCTTATTTTTCTGTATATAAAGACATTTATTCATTATTTAGCCTGCTTAGCCTGCTCTCAAATCAGTGCCGGCCTGAGGCAAGTCTTAGGATGGAGCAAGATCCTATTATGGCGCCCCCTTGGTTGCCCCTAATTTATACCCTTTAATTTTCTTTACCACTCAGGCACCCCCTAGGACTTAGCGCCTGGAGCGGCTGCTCCGTTCGCCCTATGGTAGGGCTGGCTCTGTCTCAAATCAGCATATTCTATTTGAGTTGTCATTTTTTTTTTTATTCACAGAATTTTCCCAAAATAGATTTACATTTGTTAATTCTTTAAATATGAAATCAGCCAAAATCGACTTCATCAGTTCAAGGCAAAATCGGCCAACATAAAAGTTGTCTGACTGGTTTTGCTATACAATTGACCGTTCTAACCTGAAGAGAAAGAAGAAATTTTCAAAGTTTAAAGAGTTTGATACACACAGACAGTAAAATTAAGACGATAACTTTCATGAACAACTCATTCCACCAATCATCTCTTTTGATCTTGACAATCGTCAGAGACAATTGGTTGAAACTGTTATTAATGCTAATTTTATTGCTAATGTGCATTGGCTTAAACAGAACATAATGTAAAGTGGCTATTTTATTAGTTGAATATCTTTTATCTAAGTAACATGCTCTACTAAAATTTCAAGGTTTATTTATTATATAATTTTATAATATATTATAAGTTTATAATATATAAATTTAATAATAGGCAGTAATTAAAGATTAAAAATTACATTTTGTAACTATAAATTATTATCAGATTATTTCTTTTATTGTAATTAATGATACACTCAGCAATCATATGCAGAATCTTTTAATGAAATAAAATATAAAATATAATCTATATAATTTTCATCTTTAAACATGATCTCTATCACTCAATGCAACCAGAAAATGTATTAGGCAGTAAAATTTCATTCATATAAATAATTTAAATAATAATATTTTACAACTTGAAAGAGTATTATATTCAAATAAACCTGATTATATTTTATAAATGTCAAAATATTTTATTTCTACATTGAATATTTTTGGAGTCGTTCTGTTCTGTGTTCAGTTTAAGATACCTTTAGATCTGAATTATGAAGCAGAGCAACTCCAAAAGATGTTTAATACCGTTATAATGATTTTTGACTTCTATAAAATAAAGCTGATTTAATTTGATTATTTGATTAATTTGATTGAATTTAATAGAGAGGTTGAGGCGCACGTTTTAAACGTGTAAACGTGTACGTGTGACGTTCAGCGCCGCTTTCCCGTAAGCCTAAAAGTTTGACAATGGTGTTTGGATAGTCGGTGGAATCACGCTTGACATTCCAAACACCATCGTCAAACTTTTAGGCTTACGGGAAAGCGGCGCCGAACGTCACACGTACACGTTTACACGTTTAAAACGTGCGTCTCAACCTCTCTAATCAAAATGGAGTTGAATATTTAGAAAGAGAATAATAATAACTTTTTATTTATTCTGAATCTCACAACTAAGTCGTTGGTAATCAGTTATTAATTTAATTTTCACAGATAGAATAAGTAATATTTGCATAATAATTAAACTATCCTGAAACCTTTGCTACAGGCTTCCCTTCTATTTCACGACTTTGAAAGTGAGAGTTGTAAAGGAATGTTGACTCTTTTTGTGGATAAGATGCTCTTGTACATATTCTGCAACCTCATATACCAAGATTTTAGGTATGACTCCAAAATATAAAACTATAGGAAAGGAAACAGCATCAGGAATAATATAATTTATGTAAATCTCACTGTGCTATGCACTACAGTTAATTTATGCCATTTTGTTGATCATTTTTGCCAATCTTCACAAATGCTTTAAAGATATTATTACTTCTATACATGGGCGTAGCCAGAGTTTTGTTGTGGGGGCCTAGTAGAGGCCAACCTAACACAAAATTGAATTATTTCAAATTATTCATAACATTGGGCACAGTGGACCTTTTTTTTTTTTTTATTAGTATTCAAAATTTTTAGCTTTAAGTTTTTTGTTGTTTCCAAATCGGCTTAACACTTTTTCGGTTGTGATTTTCTGGGGGGGCACCAGGTTCACTGGGGAGGGCCGTGCCCACCCAGGTTCCCCCCTCGCTACGCCCATGCTTCTATATCACAGAAAAACAATGTTTTGGGCCACAAGTATATTATATATACTTGTGGCCCAAGTATACACTTGTATATACTTGTGGCCACAAGTATATTATATATACTTGTGGCCCAAAACTCCATAACTTCTTACAATGTGGCTCAGAGAAAAATCTGGTAAATCTATATCCTTCATACACACTTAGTTGGTTCATTATGATACTTAGGTTTTTCATGTATTAGTCACCCTAGCACATATGCTGCATTCATTGAATTTTGCAAACACAGTATAGCCTTGTATAGCCCAAAGCCTATAGTCAAAGTATCAGGGTAATAATTTATAAAGTAAGTGAATGATTTTTTTCCAGGAGCACCTATCGTAATGTCAGCCCCTCACTTTTTATATGGTGATGTAGCATATACTCAGTCTGTAATGGGTTTGAAACCAGATCCTCAACGTCATTTATTTCATATAGACTTACAACCGGTAAGCAGTTATCTTCTGTAAAAACTTTCCTGTATAAATTTTCATTACATATTATAATAATCTTACAAATTTTTAGTTAATTATAATAATATAGTTTTATTTCTTATATGTAACAGCAAATGGGAGTACCTGTAAATGTTGGAGCTAAAATGCAAATTAATGTAATTATAGAAAAAATAGAAGGAATAATGTAAGTACAATAACAATTATGCAAGTGTTGATGTTCTTTTAATTTTGTATTTATTTTTTAGATATAGCATGAATATAAATAACTTTTATAGAGTACAACATTTAAAAAAATTTAGGCATTTTTAAAGTAATTTGTATGATTTGACAATTTAAAAATCAATAGATATTGATATGTGTATTAATTTATTGTATAGGGTGTTTTTGAAAGGTCTTGCAAAACTTTAACAGTATATTCTATGGGTCATAAAAATGAAAAAATTGCCATATATTGCCATTAGCTCAGCTATACATATAATGAATGTCGTCATTTCTCAGTTAAAGTAACAGATCTTTTTAAGGTTCAGAGGTGTGCTGTTTTTTATGAATTAAAAACAATTGAATGTGAAAAAGGTAACTGCCAAATCACAGATTAAAATCATTAACCTCTGAAAAACTAACCCAAAATTTGTTCTGCTAACATCATTTAGTACTATTAATGAGTTTGGTGAATTTAAATAAGCCTAAGGGTGCAACTATGCAGACGCAAAGTTGCATAGTCGAGAGAGCGAGAGAGAAGTTGCGAGCGATTTAGTTTTCGCAAAGGAAAACCATGCACAAATGCGAAGCGAGAAATAATGCTGGCGAGAGCGAATTTCTGGTTCTCACACATATCTGACAGGTTTTGATATTTATCGCGTCTCGCCTCTTCTCGCCACATATTCTCGCTCGCTCGGAAAATTCGCTCTCTCGCGTCTGCATAGTCGCACCCTAACTTCTGATTTATGATGTACAAAGTGTGTACTTTCAATGTTGATATAGATTAAAAGATTTAATCAAAATGATCAATAACTGATAATTGGCCCAACCAATAATTTTTCTCCTACTTCTTCAAAATTTGCATTTTTGAATTTATTTAACAATTTCATTTTTTCATCTTTGGCAGTAAACTGAAACACAGTGATTGTAATTTTATGACAATCTTAAACAGTACAAGTTAAAATTTTATCTTACAAATGTAAAAAATTCAAAACAGGATTCTATCATTTAATAGTTGTCATGATAAGTAAAACGATTCCATTCAAATTGTTTTAATCAACGTATTCATGCTCTACATTGTTTATTTCAGTATATCAGAAATAAATACATACAACATGTACTGGACAATCAAATGCAAAGTTTTTTTCTCAAATGAAAGTTGTGAAGAGCAGACTTGGTGATATAAGCAACTATGTTTGTTATTACCTTGCTCTGCATTGTTACCACACCTACATCTTGAACATTTATTCATTATAGACTTGAAAGATAACATTTAAAACTCCTTGTTAGCATTGCCAAGTTTGCTCCCTGCAAATAAACTTCTTGTTTGTTCAGCCTGCACAAGTATTATTGAAAAGCTCAAACTCTCATAATATTGAGAAAAATATTAATATTTTTAATGTATAAGATCAGGTTAATTAAATGTATTTATTGTAAATAAGCTTTAAATTAAACTAACAGAAATGTAATATCATTGCATTAATTTATTTACCATATTAGATAAATGACTTTAGGTGCTAAGACATTATAAAATAGATAAATACATTATTTTTCTTCAGTGTCTTGTTTATATTTCTGGGACTCAATTAATTTCATTACGAAAGAATATTCAAGATTAAAAGCAGGGCTGTGGAGTCGCATAAAAATCTACCGACTCCGACTCCATTTCATATACATAACAAGTTGGTAAGTAAAAAGGGAGTCGGAGTCAGCGGATTTTTTGACGACTCTGACTCCGACTCCACAGCCCTGATTAAAAGTCAAAAGATACAGTCAATATACACATTTGAAGATAATAAGATGACGATGATGTGGTTATTCACACATTATAATCATGTATGTGCCATCGATCTTGTAAACATCACCTTATTTGATTAGCTGTAGAATTGTAGTTCTGTAAAACTTGTAATAACTACAAGTGTATTACTAAAAGATGTAGTTTCAAATTTTGGCTATGGACAAATAAATTTTTTGTTTGGGAATTTCTTTCTTTAGGTAGCTTTATGATTTATACATTAGGATTTATTCTTTGTATTCTACTTGTTTATTAATACTAAATTTATATTTTTCTTTCAATTCTTATCTGACTGATAAAATTGCATAAAACAAAATTTTTAAATTAAACATAAAAAATTAACTTTAATAAAAATATCTTTTAGGCAGTTTGCAAATATTACTGGAAGAACTTATTTTCCTGCCTTGTGGTTTACTCAAGTAAGTAAACTTTTATTTTATATAATGATTAAATATTGACACTCGTTTTTAACGGGTCAGTTTATTACCGTATTTTGACGAGTATAAGTCGCTGTCAAGTATAAGACGCACCCCTATTTTGAGACAAAAAATTTAGAGAAAAACTTTTTTAATGGGATTGTCTAAAGATGCATTTTATTAATCATAGTGGCCAAGAAATTCTTCAACTGAATCACTGCTATCTACTGGTAAATTATACCCATTAGGAAACATATCTGTGACTTCATTAATGACTGATTCATCATCCCTTTATTCTTGAATTTCCGAAGTATTGACTGAATCATCATCACCAGAATCTTCATAGATTGCCTCATCTTCTGTACCACCCAGAGCATTAGATATTCTGGTTTTCTTGAATGACTTAATAATGATCTCCGTTTTAATACCTTCCCAAGCACACAGCACCCAATTGCACACTTCTGCAATGCTGGCTTGTTTTATTCTCCTTGTTGGTGTTAAACTTTTATTTGCAACAGTCATCATCCACTTGTTCCATTCATCACGAATTATTTCAGTTTAATAAAGGTAACGATTCATCCATCTGTCATATTCTTAAATAAAAAAACGAATAAAATGCTTTATTAAACTGAAATAATCGTAATTTCTTAATGTAAACTGAGGTCACGTGATGACAGTCGACAGAACATGGCGGCGATGACTCGTGTGTCGCTACTCTGATAATCTAGGTACTCTTAGCCAGTGATGGCCCGAGGCAAGTTTTAGGATGGAGCGAGATCCTATTATAAAGTTAGGGGCAACCAAGGGGGCGCCCCCCCTGGTTGCCCCTAACTTATACCCTTTAATTTTCTTTACCACTGAGGCACCCCCCTAGGACTTAGCGCCTGGAGCGGCTGCTCCGTTCGCCCTATGGTAGGGCCGACTCTGCTCTTAGCCATTCGGTTGAGGGACCATCTGCTTAACAGACCACTGCACAAGTTGGTCCCTAGAGTGGATCACTACTGTAGATACTTTCACTGTAAAAATGGTTACCTGTCGAGTATAAGATACACCATGATTTTGAGCCCCAAAAAGTAGTAAAAAAAAATGCGACTTATACTTGTCAAAATACGGTACTTGATAAAACGTTTTTTTTTTAAACAATTACATCTAATCTTCAGACCATTGAAAGAATGTAGAACAGCTACTTTTCCTAAATCTGCACATTATAATTTATTTTAAAAATTTTTTATTCAAGTGGTAACTGTTGTATGTTTGATTTTAAAGTTGTTATTAAGTATGGATCTTACAATAAAATATAGTAGTACCAAAAAACACTATGTCAAGAAATAAACAGACTCCTTCAAAATTATTAGCATTTTACCTTAGATATGATATAAATATGAAGTCACTTATTAATAGAGAACTTACATCATGAAATGAATAAAAATAGTAATTTTTGGTGGTCAAAAATCAGTTAACTTAGATTTACTTTTAAGAAATTCAATTTATGAGCTCTATTACAGCTTTTCTTTTTCGCTAGACTTATTACACCATCATTCAGAAACAGGACAAGCTTTAGAAAATCACATTTTATTTCCTAGAGAATGCATTTCGGTTTCTGAATGATGGTGTAATAAGTCTAGCGAAAAAGAAAAGCCGTCACAGAGCTCATAAATTGAATACAAGACTAGACAAGAAGTGTATTACATACTTTTAAGAAAGCTTAGAATAGCTATATGTTATTACAAAAACAAAAATTACCTTCATAATTCCAGCAACATATTTATTAAAAGTAAGAATAATTTCAATCAGTTTGACTGACCTTCTTCAGTTAACAGAAACTTTGAATAAAAGAATATAGATAAATATAATGGTAAAAAATAGAATATAATGTTTGAATTAAAATAGGAACAAGAAAATATTGTTTTAACCATCTTTCAAGATCTTATCCTCTTCTATACAAGATACTTAGATAAGATGTTTATCTTGTGGTGGAAAAAAACCACCTACAACAGTTTCCCCAAGTGTTTAAGAATAACTATTATGGTTTACATCTGCAGTTAGAGCAAGGAAATGATACACTGGTAAATTTCCTTGACCCTATCATCTCATCCAAGTTTGGGGAAATAATTACTAAGGTATACAGAAAACCTACTTTTCAACCTATATCAATACTCTGCAACTCTGTGGATCTAAGGCACATTAAGCTCTCCACATTCAAATCATTGATAAGAAGCGTATATATCCATTGAACTAACATCCTGGATATGATAGCAGAGCTCAAGTACATTTTAAAGATAGCGGAACCACATGGGTATCCAATTCAATTGATAAAATGATTAATTTTGACCTTTCAAACCACAAAAGCTAACTTGATACCAATAACCAGAAAAAAAGAGATTGTCTTAAATTATTTTCCAACTTCAAGAGATATACATAAAAAAGCAGCAACTCTAACAATCTTACATTGGTATACTGACGTAATCCGACCATTGTCAAAATTTTAAGAAATGATAAGGCTCCATATGATTACAACTCTGCACCAGACATCTACTCAATCCCAATAGATGACATTTTATAACAAAGCTTGTATACATAGCTGCCACAGGATGTAATGTATAACAAAGAATCTAGAAACATAAATATACAATCGACAAGAACCTCTGTAAGATTGCATTGGCAACCTGTTCACATCAACACAACATACAGATAAATTGGGAAGAGGCAAAAATCATCAAGCCTTCCTCTAATATCAAAACTCTTTCTTACCTGATGAATTTATAAAGCAGACAGAAAATTGACATGCATTAATCATTGTGATGCCAACACCCTTTCTAATACATGGCAGTCACTTTTTTAGATTTAATTATTTATGCTTTTCCCTTTATTAATTTATTAATAAAAAAAAAGGATATATTTATTTATTATATGTATTTTATTTATATATGTATTGTTTTTTTATGTTGTTTTAAAATTTTCTTCTTCCTGTTTTAATTCAAACATCATGTTTTTTATTTAAATTCTATTCTTTTATTCAAAGCTTCTGTTAACTGAAGAAAGTCAGTCAAACTGATCAAAAACTTTCTTATTTTTAATAAATATGTTGCTGGAATTACAAAAGTGAGTTTTGTTTGTATCAACACTTTCCTAGTTGCATACCCACCCTCTTGTTATTTTGAAATATATTTCCTTCCCAAACTAAAATTAAACCACAATAAACTTGCTTTTCTGGAGTTTTAATAGTTAATAGTTATGTTCCAACACTTTTTTTTTTCATTGTAATGTCCATATTCTAGAACATTACAATGAAAAGAACATGGTTGTACTAAAAGTTCTTTTTCTTTTCTCCTTATGGGATGTTTTCATATTAGCATAAGGATTGTCTAAAAATTAGTGACAAAATGTGACAGATAGATTGAAGATTGGTTCTCAATTTCCACCAAAGGGTCATTCAAATATGATTTCCCCAATTTTAAGACATTTTTGACTACCTTTTTAAAAGTCTTTTTTGACAATAGTCTTTTTGACAAAATGTAATAGGGAGGATAGGGAGGAGGTATCCTCCCTATTACATTTTGTCACCAACTTTTAGATAACCCTCATGCTAATGTTACACTTGAGCTGCCACTCCTGATATTAAAATCAGCCATTTCTGTAAACAGATCTACAGTACATTAATTTATTCTCTCCAAATCAGCACACCAGCAGTGGGGCTCTTGTACCTCTTAGCAATAATGAAAGAATTAAAGCACTGTACCTCTTAGCAATAATGAAAGAATTAAAGCACTCAACCCACACTAACGTTGTGGTTGTCAATTCTAAACATAACCATTGTTCATCACTAAAGATAATATGCTGCCACTTTATAGTAGTCTGTGCTTCTCTTTCACAGCACTATTTCAAACAAAGTTGAAAATGACATGCTCTGCCATAAGCACTCGCTTAAGGTAGAGCATGTAGTGGTCACTATGAATGCAAATTTGTCTCTACTAGTCTCTTGCCAATGATACAGGAAGAGAGAGATTTCTGTAGCAATGCTTTCACCTATTCTGGATGGCAAAGGAGCCATTACAGCTATTTGTACTAATCTCAAGATCAGATGATCATCTCTCCTGTTGGTCTGTCTGGGACATCCAGAGCTTGCCTACCATGAATGTGTACCCTCATGTTTCTGTAGCCACCAACACCTCCTCACAGTCAAGACAGAATGGCCCAAATGGTGGATGATTTGGCAGAATAGCCATCCTGCTTCCATTGGCCCAATGATATATATGTCCTTCTCAAATGCTGTCAGAAGTATATAATGCCTTTGACTGCATCTTACAGGTATGTTTGGTATTCAGAGACCTCCAAACAACAAATATTCTAAAAATTCTGAATATAATGTGATTTTAGCCAATCCTTTTATGGGATATTGGATTAGTAATTTGGAGGCATTCTGTGCCATTACCTGGCATGCAATCAGACTACAACTATAATCATTTGTTTACCTATTTCAGACACAGCTGTAATCTGAGTTTCTTAATAATAAGAAATTATATGTGGGTTCTTAATTTTTTATTAATGAATATATTTATTAATGTTGTCTTGTAATGATCTTTTATAAATATACTATATTTTTTCCACAGAGTTTTACAATAAATGAACCTCTTATAAAGAAACTACAAATGGTAACTCAAGATATACCATACTATGTTAACGTTGGTTCATTTCTGTCAATATGTGTGGGTGTAGTAGCACTCTTATGTGCAATTGCTTTCTCTTGTCAAGTTCTTAGGAAAAAGGTAATAATGTTTTTCATATTTCGTAAATATAGGTGAAACTTTCTACTACTAAATGTTAAATTTTTAAAATAGTTTTTCCTAGCAGAAAATATTATGTACAGTAAGATACATAAGAAAAGCACTTAATTTAATATGATAAAAAGCTAGATTAAACTAGAACTATGGAGTCTGTAATCAAAAGTTTTAACTCTGACTCCAACTCTATTATTTATTATCAATATAGGAACTAAATAATTATTAAAGAGCATAAAAATTACTTTCTCTTCTTCTCCTGAAGGTGACATTTATAAAATGATGAAAGTGCTTGCACTGATATAAATAATAAAAATCATTTAATGATGATAAATGGTGGTTATCTCATTCTTAAGTGGATAATATTTTTTTGGAATGGTGAACAATCTTTATTGTTATCATTATATTTCCCATAGACTCAATATCATAAATTGAGTTAACATTCATGGAAACCATAGTTAGAATTTGTGTAATATCTTATTACAATGACCAACAAAGACATTTAATACAATTGTAATAAATGATTTATATCATTCACAAACCGTAATGAATTGTAAAGAAATTCATAAAAAGTATTTTAGTATTATTGTGTATTAGAAACAACAATAGAAATACGACACAGTTTCAAGTTATCAAAAAAGTATTTTACTATATAATTTTTACAAACACATAATCATTATTTTTATATTATACATCAAATGTTCATAGAAAAATATAAAAAAACACTAATGTATTTCATGTTTCATGCTTGTTTGGTAAAGTCAAATATCATAACACATCAGAAAATTCCTGGCATGGAAACTTTTCCATCAATGGCTGGATGGCTGAGTGGTGTAGGTGGAAACCTACCACTCTGGGAACCTGGGATCAAATCTGATTGGGTAAAAATAAACTCTACGAATTTTCAGGTTGTGGTCCATCCAGATATGTAGGGCTCTGTCTCTCACTACCTGGCTGCCCCATTGTGGGCCTGGCCAAACTGATAATGGGCTTGCTAAAAGAGGCCGTGTTAGTATCGACAGAGTGAAAAGAGTTAAAAAAACACATCAACAAGAAAAAACATTCACTGGTATAAATCAACAGAACTAGTCACAGTAAGTGAATAATTATATTAACAAGCATATTAGCATACAAGTCCAAGATATTCAAAGATTACAATATGGAAAAGGATAAAGAATAAAACATGTTAAAAAATTTTCTATTCACATTTTTGTAATTTGTTCTAATGTTATAATAGCTTGAACTTGTAACTCTGATGATTCATTAAAGAATTCAAAAACATTTGTTTAAATATAATTATCCACTGTTAACGTGTCAAGTTCTGTCTTAATATGTGTTGTGAACTTTCCTCAGTACTTTTGGGTCTTCCAGTCATCTTCAGGTGTATAATGTACTCGAAATAACATCTGCAGTTGGAAAAGTACTAGGAAAAAATTCATAAGATTAGTATGTTGAAACTCATAAGTTAGTATGATTGACTTATCCAATAAAGCATGATATATATGAATTTTCAGATTGATATTTCTTTACAATAAACTATTTTATTTAAATTTTTTAATTTTACAGAAAGAGAAGAAAGGTGTCTACAAAGCCATCAGAGTTGTAAAGTCGTAACACCACAGACTGAAAATAGTTTCAATTACTACAGATGAATTATGTAGAGAAAGACACTAGAAATTTTAAATTGCAATATCATTTTTTTACAGGTAAATTATAAGTTTAAAACTATTACCACTCAAAAACAGCCAAAAGAAAAAGGAAATAAATCAACAACTTCCTAAAATATTTTTTGATATGTATTAATATATCAGCTAATATGTTACCGTCCATAACATTTGATAGTTATCAAGAGGTGCTGTACATTTGGAAAATTTTCAAATTTTATATTTTTAACAGTCAGTATTATCAAATGTTACAGGTCATACAGTTTGATAAAATTAAACTATTTTATAACCATATTCATCATGTATATCATTTTGTATTATACAATGTGTGTTTTAGGCAATTATCTGTACTTTTATGCACCTTGATTTCATGTTTTATGTTATCACTACTAGTTTTTATTTAAACTGAATTCTGAAATAATGAAATATTGTATGGCTTTGAATTTAAGATGTGCTCTTAATTTTTTAAAGGTTTTCAGAAAAATACTTAGAATAATTTATTAAAGAGTAAAAATATTAACTATTTTAAGATAAACTAAAATCAACAGAAAATTATTTGAATTTTTCATTACACACAAAGAGAAGTGATAAAGTTATTGTAGATTATAAGAAATGCTTTAATGGAGCAAGATGGCGCACAAAGAATTCAAGTACTTTCAAGTACTAGTACTCATCATCAGTACTCAGAAGTGCTTGAACTCTTTTTATACACTCACTTTCTCCATTAAAGAATTTGTCATTTTGGAGTATTAATCTTAACATTATGGACTTAAGAAACATACCTGATTCAAGAGCTATCCTAAGTTTAGAAACATCTTAAATTTAAAGTGATATTGTATTAATTAATTTAGAATGGAGTTTGAAGACTTTCTGATTAGATAAAATATAAAAATAAATTCCTATGTTTACAGTATGATAATTATTACAGTGATGACTTAACATAAGTATAATTTAATAATTTATCAATAATACCCTTTGTTTCGAATTTTAGTTAATGATTACAGTATTTTTCTCATTTATTAAGACATTACAATAATATATTTTAAAATCAAATTTTGTCATTACGCACTTTTATAAATAATGTAATTTTAACTAAGATATATGCAAAAACATTTTTATAAATTAAAACTTTAATCTTTTGTTAAATGAAGCTAATGCAATGAGAATATATTTAAGATAAAATTTAAAAATCTATCAATTTGCCATTCCATTCCTGTTTATTTTACTTTTTAATTTATAATAACAATTAAAATAAAAAAATACATGGGGCAACATAATTAAACAGAAATTTACAACTAGACATTGATTTGATATCAAGTTGACACTGAAGTTGAATATTGCAAAATGTTATAAATTATCCAAATATTATATGTATAATTATATACACAAAATAGTAATGTACTGTACCTATTATTGGACACCAAATAATATTGTGCAGTAAAGACCATGCCACCAACTTGTCAGAACAGTGACATTGGATAGAAATGCTAAGGCTATATATTGCAGTTGAAATAGAGCTTATTTTATTGGATTTCATTGTAATTGCCATACTTCCTGTTACAGGACTGTAGCTAATCATTTAACTTTCTGCATTTTATAACAAATATAAAAATTGGATAATCATGTTACAACATTCTGGGACTGTATAGTCTATAATACATAAACATTTTAACCATTTTCTTATTAAGTTAATGATAAAAGCACAATTCATTAAAATGTATATTTTTATAATGGAAACAATTATATTTAGATACTAGATGTGCAATCAAACACTCTGTATGATATATTCATATACAGTAGATGCTGCTTATTGTAATTGTAGATATTATCATCAGTTATCTAATATCAGAATGAAGCTCATCAGGACTTCATAAATTTCAATATAAGAGAATGCTGTAATAATATATGCTATTTTATCTGCAATGTCAATAAAACTGCATTTTATTTTTATGCAATACCTAGTTTTACTTACAGGTTTAAATATGAAAGTGCTAAAGGATTTAAATCACTGAAAGAGCATATTATAGTTCTCTGCAGTGCATCATACATGACTAGAAACAGACTTCTAGTGATTGGAAAACAGTGAAAATTCAAGGTGTTTTAATGGTATGAAACGTTGTTCAAATGCAAATACCTTGATTACAACTGACATTTTTAACAACTGGTTAGTTAATTGAAGTATAAGGTAAGATCCTGCTTAACGCGGGGGATGCATTCCTAGACAAAAAAAGCGCTAAGTGAAACAGCATTAAATGAGGTCATTTTAACTTAGAGTAAATAGGGATAGGGGAACATTCAACCAAAAATAAACAAATTTTACTTTAAGTTACTTTTATATTAATTTGTATAATAATATATGTTAAATAACACATGAACATATGCACACAGAAATGTAAAGTACCAGTACATTTTCTGTGATGAAGGTCCTGACTTTTCTGAAATTCTTGTTCTTTTGCAATAAAGTCGTGAAGTTTCATTTGTTGCTTTTTTCTTTCCTTAAGCTAATGTTGCTAGCAGAAGATCGCATCCAAAATGCCTCATTTTGCTTTGGCACTCCTTTCAAAATATGGATCATTCACTACAATTTGATCAACAATTTCGGTTATCTTACCAAACTTTTACTAAGGAAATCTGTAGAGAAAATTTTTGGGTTCTTTGTTTTCAGAATATCTATTTTCCATGAGCAGGATAATGAAGAGTTACAGCAGGTTTCTGGTGAGAGCCTTACCAACAACGTCCTTCGAGAACTGGCAGGACATGGAATTCATGTTCTGCCAGTTCTCGAAGGACGTTGTTGGTAAGGCTCTCACCAGAAACCTGCTGTAACTCCTCATTATCCTGCTCATCTACATCTCTTTGTCCTGCTGTATCAATTAGGTTGACAATTTGGTCAACCTAACAATACAGCAATAGGCTCTTCTTGTTGAGAATTCTTGGATACCTTCAGCCATAACTTCTTCCACATTTCATTCGTGCATTTATCAGTTAATTCTTGCCAAACAAAGTCAATATTTCCTATGGCATCCGTGATGTTATATTTTTTCCAAAATTGCACCAAAGAAACATAGATTTAAAGAAACTATACCTTTTTGCCATCTTTTGCTGATTGGTTTGTGTTCGCAAATAATCATATTATATACGAATCAACAAAATGCTGCAATAATTTAAATCAGCATAAATTTTGAGCTTTTTTTAGGCTTCGAGCAGACTGCGTTATATCAAATCAGTGTTAAGCGGGGTATTACTGTACTTGTAAATGGTGTACAGTACAGATATATTGCATTTCCTTATGAACATTTATTGATAAAATATTGCTAAAAAATAGCCCAAAAATAACATTGAATGAATAATCAAGTAATTATTATTATAATTAATTATCTGATTCAATGAAACTAGAATTTTCACTAACTGTGGCCTAATTACATTCGATGTTGTCCCAGCATATAATCTTATATGACCGCGACCCTAAGCTGTTAAAAGAAGTTAACACACGAGTAATAACATTAGCCACGCAGGTGACAGAAAGATGTAAGAAGAGATACAAGAACAAAATGACATGTATCTAATTACATTCACTTCACATTACTGCTCAATTATTGTTATCAGTGTAGGCTAGTCTCAAAATAATTACAATAAGCAATATCTACTATAATTTTTCTGCAGAATACTTAGTTTAATACATAATTTAGCAATAATTATGTCATTTCTTTCAATAAAATATAGAATATAAAATAAAAAATATTAAAAAAGCAATATTATAAATTTAGGAGGGATATTACAATTTTTTAATTGTATTTTTGATATACTGTAATTTAATATTTCATCTTAAAAGTAGATAAATTTTTATATCAAATACAAAAAAAGTAACATTATTTATCAGTTGTTATTAAAGTTATATTAAGATGTAGGAAGAAAATTCACAATGTGCCTTAATACATCTAGAGTCAGTATTAATCAAAGTTAATAATGTGCAATAAAATATTCTCAGATTTATTTTATTTGATTATCATTTGTGCCAAATTATTTGTTTTGAATTTCATGAATTCTTATATCTTTATAAATTGAATGAATTTATTGGCAGAACTAACTACTAAACATGAGATAAACAAACTTCTAACATCGTTAGATCCCAATTTTAAGGACTAAGATTTTGTAAATTATACACTTTCAGACATTTGTAATGCTAGTTTAATTCACTTCTATATAATAAAAATAAAGCCATCTAACAACCATAGTGTTTTCTTTTTTCTGCATTACATCAAAACATAACTTTCATACATATAAATAAATACTTGCATGTAAGCAATATTTTTCAAACTTGGCTATTTAAGCTAAGATATGCTTTTAATCTTTATCTTTTATTCTGTTTCATTAACTTCTTATGTACATAGGCAACATGTTGACAATCAAAACATAGGAAATCTCATTGACAATCAAAGTTCTCTTCTAATGATTCTAAGAATTCATTACTAAAGAATTATTTTCTATTGGTCTAGAGTTTAATCATAATATTGGCCAGTTTAACAAGAGTTTTAGTATTCTAGTGGGCCCATATCATATATTATTGTACAGGCTTCTCAGCTGAGGTCTTCAAGTTGAAATTGATCTTTAAATATTATGTTCTGTAGATGTTTCAAATTCCAGTAAAAGAAAATGTATCAACATTATTCTATTGGGTTTAACATTTAGATTAATGTTAAATGACATGCAAACTCTAGCTATCCTTACAGAAGTGTAATTTACTTGCAATCCATTTCTGAGACAGCTTTCTTCATTTACTGATTACTTAATCCAAACCTTTTTAATCAGTCCTTTTTTTATTATCAAACATCCTTCTGAAAACCGCTAAGTATGAAGCTAACAGAAAAACACAACACATACATACATATATAACACAAACTGCCTTGTTTAGTCTTTAAAAGCGAGATTTTAGATTTAAAATTGATAGAA